TAAGAACCAAACCAGAAATCTTGTTGCTCCCTAGTAGAAATGAAGCTAGCAGGAACAGCCCTGTCTTCAGAGTCTTCCCAAGCCTCCAATTTGAGAAGAAAACTTGCTAAAATCCTAGGAGTTCATTCTGAATGCTCTAATAATTCCCATGAGCAGTAAACGTATTTTATTTCTCAGTGTCAGGCATTTATTACTGAAGAATGCAATGCCTGTATTTCAAGACATTAACAAAAGTTACGTTTGGTTGGCCAACAATTGTGCATTAATGCTCCTCAAGAGGAATGCTGAGTGTATGTGTAGTGTGATAGAGACCCATTCTTCCAGCCTAGACTGCCAAATATATTCAGTGATGCATTTGATTTAAAATAGTGAAATGAATATGCCCAGGGGAAGCATTAGACATCTTGAATACCATAGTTCAAAGTATATAAAAACAGCAATGTCTGAATAACCTGAGAATTGGAAGAAGGGAACAGTGTAGATTTGTTCTGTCCATTTGTAGATTCGTTCCCCCTTTTTTTGTTACATCAACTGTATACAGAATTTGTCAAAATCCAAAATGTAATACAACTGTAGTACTTTGTTAAAAAATAGGTACAGATTCTCAACCATCTAGAATACTAATTTGGGCTGTGTTTTGAAAATATAATCCTACCAAAATACTACCCCTATAAAATCAAGCTTAAAAACCATTAAATAAATAGTTTTAAAAGTTTTTTTTATGGTCTATCTACAGTGAAATAGAGAAGGGTTTAAATAAATTCTGTTAACTCAGTTTTGGAGAGTATCCTAGAAAAATATAATCCTTGGGAAGTTTTGAAAGACTTGGAAAAGTTATATTAAGAAAATAGAATGAAGTATCCCAGAATTATCCTGCCCATGAGGGAAGGTGTAATAAAAAGAAAGAATTTTCCTTTTAATCTATTGTACCCAGAAGGAAGATACTTTTCTAGAACCTTCTGTGATTCACAACAGAGAAGCAAAACCAATGTTACTGGTAAACAAGCAGGAAGTTATTTATCTCTTCACTTGTCATAAAATAATTCAAATCATTTTGGTTTACTTTATGGTGAAATAAAATGAAATACACTGAAAGTAATACACTATTTAATTTATTTCTCTTAATTCAATTCCAGCAATCAAAATAGGAATGGGAATATTTTGTATTTCCTGCCAAGGGCTTTTCTCTAAATTGAATTGTTTTCACAAAATACTCAACACAAAAGCCTGCATACTGCTGATCTGCAAAAAGAAGGCTAATCATCAGAGGTTTTTCTACTGGACAAACATTTAATTAATACCCACTTGGCCTGATTTACTTGGTTCAACCAAAGTTACTAAGGATTATTATGGGATATATAAATTTCATTCAATTTTTTTTACTTGATACACTATCTAGAAGCATTTCCAATTGTTTATAAATTGAGAGTCCACATCTCTTCATGGCTATTCTTTTCCTTCTCTTGGTATCCCCCTTTCAGAACTTATCCAGCACAGTGTATGTGCCCCTATTTTAACATTCATTGCATTTATTATAGCTACCAGTTCATTGCTCCTGCTAGCCTCTGCTCTCAGACATGGCACGAATACTATCTCGTATTTATTTTTCAGTACATAACATTTAATAAAGTGCCTGGCATATGTAGGTGGTCAATAAACATTTGTTGAACAAAGTAATTAATAAAGTACCTCCAAGAAGCTATACCTCATCTACAAAATGCAAGGTATTATTATTGATGATTGATCTATTCATTTAACATGAGGATGGGAACATTGAGTGAAATTTAGATTTCCCCCCCAACTCAATAACATACAAAACCGTACTTAAAAAGACAAAAGACTTAATTAGAAATGGAGAAAGAGGCTTTTCATGGGATGCAGCTGTGTGAGCGTGGGGTGGGTGGTGCCCCTCCGCGTGGATGTTCTTCCCTAGGAGGATTCAGCTCCGCTAGCTCCGACACTGAACTGGCACTATGAAACAAAACATTCTTGAATTATTGTTATAGTACAGCTTTATTCTCTAGTTAAATAAGGAATATTTTTATTAAGATAGAAGGAGGGTCCAGATGAAGTAGTTACAAAGCCCTTCTCTATGGAAAAATTTTTCCCCATAATACACATGCCTGTGACTCTTATTTGTGGAGTCAAATTCTCCTAGGACCTTAAACTCTTTCCTAGATGTAAATCATTCAGCTTTCACGTTTTCTTTAGGCCAAGAGACTCAACTGGCTCTTTCCAAGTTCAATCTGATACTGTCCAACTCACATTCAAGAGTTGTTTTTTCAAAACATC